ATCCACCTGCCACCCCACTCACCAGCAAGTATCAGCAGTTATTCTAGGGGCATTGATCTTTATGCTATGCCACCATGTTATTTTCAGTATAAGAGTCATACAAACAAACATTTAATCTGTTTATCTTTTCTGTCACAAATGTGAGTTTCAGAAATACATTTTGTAATGCACTGCCCTAGAAAGGAGTTTTGTTATATGAGTGTATGTCAATAATAACACATCAGGGTATGGAAGAAGTGAAAACTATGGGGAAGGGCCATAGCTCAGTGTTAAGAGTGCATGCTTTCCATGGAAAATGTCTCACATTCAACTCCTAAGATTTCCAGGTAGAGTGGTGGGAGACTCCTGTCTGAAATCCTACAAACTAAAGCTACTGCCAGTCAGCTAGATGGGCCAATGGCATCTCTCTATGTCCTCTACAGGAGAAACAGTACTGTACTTGCACCATCAGGCATTCCGATTGCCCTTCTTGTCTAACTGATCCCTTGGTTGAACATCTAACCACCTACACAGAAAGGAAGTAGTATATTATAACTGGTTTTTATTACATAATATAAGCACTTAACATAAACTAAGTTCAGTTCATGGACATTGTCCCCTAAGTGAAGTGTCACTAAATACGGCATGGACAGTTAGGGATTTCCTGTCATTTGTCTACTAGTTAATTCAATTTATTTAAATGCAGAAAAGTTAGAAACAGAGGAAGCTGCCTTATATCTGATCAGACTATTCGTCATCCAACCTAGTACAGTACTGTCTATTGAGAGTTGACTGGCAGCAACAGTCTAGGGTTTCAGGCAGAGGTTCTTCACATCGTCTGCTACATGACCCATTTAGCCTGAGGTACCAAGGAGTCAACCAGGAACAGTATGCATGCAAAACATATGCTCTGCCACTGAGCCGTGGCCCCTCTTTGTAGTTCATCACATTTGGTGCCTACAGATGGAAGTTAGTCTGTTGAACCATGAGAAATATATTCAGAACAAACACCAGTGCCGTCAAAAATAGTACAAGAAGACTAACCCTTTGTTGTTTTTACTACCTATATAATATTAAAAGTGCAGAATGTTGCAGACTGTTTTGACTTATGTCTGTAGCTAGGGTGGCCATGTCTTTTACTTTACAGAGAAGAGTCTTTCAGCCCTGCACAGTCTTTCATGGGGGTGGGGTGGAGAGAACTCCCTCCGTAGAAGCATGAGTACAGCATGCTTTGCACAGTGTTCAGGTGCTACATTAAAAATAAAGTGCCACATTTTGGAAGGCTAATTTTGACAGGTAGATGGTTTTGCAAATTTCAGGGTCTCTCCAGGAATGAAGAAACCTCTTGCTTTGGGTTTTTATGCTCCCATTTTGCTTTTTAAACTGATTGGCATAAAAGCACCAAATTTACTATTAGCAGGAATGATGTGAAGTATCTATGGAACATTTAGTCTGTACTGCTGACAGCATGTCAGTTTCTAGCTGCACTTTCTTGAAATAATGGAGAAGAATTGCAGAAGAACTAATTTGGCAAGATCAGAAGTATTTAAATAGATGATTTAGAGAGTCAGGATTTAACAACAAACTCAGATTTGACATAGTACTGGATTCTTCTTTTCACTAAACTGGCTACCTAAATATTTGCCTTTTCTTTGTAGCAAAGACCCAGCAGTAGGCCATACCTGCTGATCCACTCCTAATGTACCCACAGAGCACTCTCAATAGCTTGGATCATTGTCAGATTTTAAGTGACTACATGGCAGTGAGCAAAGTGGTTTCTATGGCTTTGTATCTCATCTACAGTACTGTGAAAGATACTATAGTATATTTTGTGGAGAGAAATAAGGTTTTTTTGTTTTTATTTAAGTGTTCCATTTGCTAGAAGATCCATGTAAATGTCAAAAATACATTGAGGCACCTTTAGCTTTGTACTATTTCTATAGCATACTCCCTTGAAGGACTGAATTCAATCCATTATCTAATGGGTTAGCTATGGTTTCTGCTCCCTGCTTCAGTTTTAAATATTTGTTGGACAGAAAGCAGAGCGCCAAGAAAAGGCATCATTCTCATTGTTGCTACCACCACGCTTGATTAGGTCGATCTGTGCAGAAAATGTGTGACACAGGGACAAATGTAAGAAAGGCATATGGCATTCAGAACTTACAATATCTGAATAATGTAGCCACACATGAATTTGGAGGGTTTAGCAAGCCACATATTTAAAATCATTCTGTAAGAACTACTAAAACAGAATGAACAGCTATTCAGTCACAAAGCATCAGCTTTAATCAGCCTGCAATGGAAATACATGGGTGGCATATTATTAAGTGGGCAGCCCGGCTCTGAAGAGTCTATTATTAATGCTCCCTGATATTTCTCTACTGAGGCCTGTGAAGGCAGCCACTGTCACTCTACACACTCAGTATCAGTGCTTCAGAAAAGGGAGTGGGCTGGAAAAGCAGCACAGAAGAGACCAGATTGTTTCCCATGTACCATCTTGTTTCCAGAAAGCTAGAGAAATCTGTCTGTAAAGCCAACAGAAACTTAAAGTCATTTTGCAATTCCTTGAGGTCTCGGTATGATGCAATGTGTGGCTGTTTGAGACTGCTTTTCCCCCTGTAATCAGATGAGCTCCTGACTGAAGCCCTCTACATGTGTACACTAAACACATGGAGTTGAGTGCCGGGCTGTGTCTGCTGGGCCCACTACCTGTGTACAGTTGTACCTGCATACGTACCCTGTAGTCCAACTACTTCCCTTTTGTCTCCATGCTTCCATATGGTCCATTTATTGCTGCTACCAGATAAGGCTGACAGGGCTTGATTGTGGGTCAGGATCAGCTTCTACCACCCTCCATGGAAATGGAAAAGAGAGTGTCCCTGAAAGTCTCAGACTACAGAACACAAAACCAATGTCCCCCCTGCATGCTACTGTAATCAGTACAACACCATGTCACTCCCCATCCCTTCCCTTTGGGGATAGCCTTCAGTAACTCAATATTCTGCAACTATGGTAATTTTGCTTCTTATTATAGTTCTTAAATGGATTAAGTCCCCCAGTGTTGACTCTGATTTTCCTTTAAGCAACTCTGTCCAGACAATCCACTATCTAGACTAGCTACTGATCCTGTAAACTTGGAAGGTGTGCTAGTTTCTGAGCCAGCTCTACCAGCAGGCAGCAGATCCTGTCCTACCCTTCCATACATTTAATATATGAAGAAGGTTGGCATGGACACTTGAATCCTGTCAGCTCTATGTCAGGAAGAGATAGGCACCAGTGTTCTCGGGATGCAGAACTGAGATTAAAGGGGAACTATTTTGCCCCACTTCCACTTTCCTTAACTTCATGTTTCCGCCAGCTTGTTTCCTCACTATGTGTTTATGTGTTGTGTTAGGCACTAAAATATAAAGGAAAGTCTTTATCAATGGCATACGCTAGGAGCACTTACAACATAAAAGGAGGTACAAAACAATATTCCATAGCACAGAGGAGTCTCTTATGCAGACAGAGTTCAAGAACAATTTATCTTTTTTTTTTTGCCGATTCACTGACTTGAAAAGCTGCCAAAAATGAATGAGACCTTAGATTGTCTTGTGTATAAGTTAGAGACGCACAAGATAATGCAGACCTTTAGCTCTTGACACTTTGACTTTAAACATCACTCCGCTGAAAGAAAGGAAAAATGCTCCAGGGTTTATCTATAATCCCATGCAACTGATCCTTCCTTTGTGTGTTCAGCCTTTCACATATAAAGTGAATCCTGCAATGCATCACCAGCAGGGTCTTTGCACCTTTCAGTACTGCAAATGCTAAAGAAAAGGAAAAAATAGCTGGGTTTTCTGAATTAGCTATTTCAAAGGCACCAATGTCTATATTATCAAAGAACTAAAAGCATATGTTTCTTTTCTTCTAGAGCAGGGATGGAGAATATGTCTGCCCCCCCATGAGAGGACCCCCCTCCCCAACACCCCTCCTAACCCCACCATTCTATCCTGGTCCAAAAAGTGGAAGAGCATAATCTGAGGACCAGGAGAAGTTAGCAGATGATGTCTCCTTGAAAGATGTATAGGCTCCACTGTGCCCCATGCCTATATTTTCCCCTCAAATTGCAAGAGATGCTTATAGTGTTATTACACTGCTAACATCTCTCTGTCTGAAATTATGTCCAATGATTTCATCCTTGATGGAAAATGACGTTGGATCTTGGGAGTTTTTTCCCCCAGCCTCCATTTTCTGAGATTGAAGGAGATGCTCACAGCATAGTGATGCTGCTGTAGTTTATGGTAGGGGGCATGTGGCAAGGAAAAGGCCCACTGGACCCCTCTGACTGTCACCTCCTACCCTGTTCTGACCCCCAAGCTAAGCTTTCCCCCACTGACTGGATCAAGGGAAAGGGAAGTTATCTGATCCCTTTGAGCATTTGGTTGAATAACAGTTCTGAACTCACAAGTGGTTTCAACACTCAAGCGGGCTGCTTGATTCATTTTCAGGATGAACAGTTTTTTCCTCACTCATCCTTAGGAAAGAGCCCAACCCACTCTCAAATTCTAGGTAGAAGGTATCAGAAATTAATCACTTTACCTGTTGCCTTAAAAGAAAACTTTCTTCTTACTTTTCCTTCTCTCACAGATGTAAGGAATCACAAAATCACCGGAAGGGTGGACTATTGCATTCAATGTATAGTCAAGGTTCACTCGCCTTAACAGTGCCAGCTGCACTTCTGAATAGAGAGGTTTAGCTCACTTGTCTGGAAAGAGCTGGACGGATGGACAGATACTATACAGCAAAAGGAAAGGATGAAAGAGTTTAACTTCCAGCGGCTCAGTACAGAAGCATTTCCTTTTCATCGAACTCTTACAGCTATTTGTGTTCCGCCTGGGTAAGCAAGAAATAAAATTGAATAAACTTGAAGAGACTTAAGGCATCCCTGCTTGATTTTAAAGATACTTCACTTTAAAATACTAGGAGGACAAAACTCTACTTTCTCTGTAGCCACTTATGTTGCATTGCCATTCTTTTTTCCTGTTCTCACATTCCCTTCTAATTTATTTTTAAACTTCTTCAAAAAAAAATGATTTTCACCTTTGTCTCAATGATCATCTTATTATTTAGGAAACAACAATTTGAGGATGTGTGTTTTGATATTATAGAAAGAGTCTGTGCTGCCATGGAAACATGAAAGCAAAAACTAAGCCTTAAAAAAAATATGGAGGAAAATATCCACATTCTGTTTAAAAACATTAGCAGCCGTATGCCATGTGTACTATATTTTTCTCCTATTTCAGCAAGGAAAAGCATAATCCATACATTTTAAATGAATTTATAACAGACCCTAAGTCATTCAGGATTTTTTGTTTTATTTTAAGCCAAAGAGGTGTGAAAATTTCAGTTTGTAAATCAGGACAATTTACATATTGTATAGACACAAAGTGGGACTTTCCACCATGAGGACACTCTACAGCAGGGGTAGCTACCCTGTGGCCCTCCGGGTGTTGTTGGACTACAGAAATCTTCAGCTCCAATCAGCATGGCCAGTGGTCAGGGTTAAAGGGAACTGTGGTCCAACAACCTCTGGAAAGCCACAGTATCTCTGTCTCTGATCTATCAGGAGCTGTAACCATTCACATTCCCTTTCCCACTCCCCCTACTTAACAATGTTACCTTTTACCAGAATTGTCTTGAATTGTGGTGCCTGGAAGTCTAGTGCAGTGCCACACAGAATGTCATACTGTTATCCCTTATCTATCTGTCTATCCATCCATCCATCCATCCATCCATCCATCCATCCACATACATACCCAGTCTTTCAGCCCTGACAAAGGTCCACAAGGCATGAGTACACAAAAAATTAAGCATTAAAACCAATTTTTAACAATAAGCAAGCTATAAAAACAACAGCAATAACCTAGGTTACAAACAGAGCAGGAAATATCATAAAACTAGGGAGAACAGAATCAAACCGTCACACACTGGAAACAATTAAAAAGCTGTGCTTTTCTGAAAGTGAGCAGTGATGGAGCCAGTCTAACAGAGTTAGAACAGCAAAACTGTATTTGGACTTCAAATTAGCAGCCCTCGATTTCTGGAAAATGTAATATAAAGCCCACGAAAGACATGTCAGCTCTAAACATCACAACAGTCGTGCACTGAAGCCTGAGTATCCTATATGGCAGCTGAGAAATAAAGAAGATACAAAACTGACTGCTACAGTCAGGTGTGAAAAAGCACACTGCCTCCACAGTCAGCTCCTATTGAGAGTCTTATGATAATTTAGAGAAAAGATGCCTCTGGCACACACTCAGACTTGTTTTGTTTTGCATGTTTTCGGTTATTCTGTCATATTGCCTTTCCAGGACGCCACTCTACTGCTGCTGCTGCCCTTCTGTTGCCTTCTGTAGTTGCCTGGAAATATACTCCATATTTCCAATAGAACAAATCCACAGCATTCCATTTTGTTACTTTGCAGACAATGATGGATCTGACTTTTGCATTTATTTTTGGCCAACGACATAATGGGCAGCAGGAGGATCTTAGGGTCAAGATCACTGAAAGTACGGGAGGATTTGTTCAATAAGTCCTTCCTAATTAAACAGGCCTCATTTTCCTAAGAGCTGGCCATCTTCCATCTCTTGTCAAGAACTCTACCGCTTCACTACCCTATGCACAAACATGAGCGCACACGCAGACAGTTTAAGCAAAATGGAAGTCTAAAAGTCATGACCTCAACAGCTGTTGCAAGAAACTTAGCATTCATGAATCATAATTAGGCACCAAAGATGCCCAGCAAGAGAGAACCTGCAAAGCATACACAGCTGGTATCCATAAGACTCATGTTCCACAACTCTTCGGTAGATCACACAATTAGCATGTGAAAGGTCTTCAAGTTCAATCCATGGAATCTCTAGGTAGAGCTAGAAAAGACTTCTCTCTGAAAGCCCTGCCAGGAGGTGATGCTGATTCATATGAACCAATGGTCTGATTCAGCACAGTTTCCTCTGTTCCTTCCTAGAGAGCCTATCATAATTTGTTGTTGTTGTTGTTGTTGTTGTTTAGTCATTTAGTTGCGTCCGACTCTTCGTGACCCCATGGACCAGAGCACGCCAGGCACTCCTGTCTTCCACTGCCTCCCGCAGTTTGGTCAAACTCATGCTGGTAGCTTCGAGAACACTGTCCAACCATCTCGTCCTCTGTCGTCCCCTTCTCCTTGTGCCCTCCATCTTTCCCAACATCAGGCTGGCCTAAACCAACCATACTGCTCCTCTACCTTAAACAGTAGACTTCCAGGTTGCATCCGGATGGGTGGCTCCTAGTGCTAATAATCATTGCTTTTTCACTGTGTAGGCTACACGTGGAATTGCAATTAACACTGTACACTATTTGGGATACTGCACTCTCTTTCTGCATGTTCATCTTGCTATTTTCCATCCCAACGGACGTAACATAACCGCTATGCATGACAAAGTTTGAATTCACCTGAAAAGCCTTTTGACCAACTGAAAGCCATTAGACTGGAAAACAGGTTTTAAAATATTTCTTACGAAAAGAATGCTAATGTTATGCCTGCTGAAAGCTATAGTGGTTATGTGCTGGGCAGGTTCACCTTTTAAAATATTCGCCTTTTAAAATGCTGTGCAAGTAGTGCTTAGTGCATCTATACCAGTCGAGATTGTGCTGCCCTTGTGTTGTTGTTTTTTGGGGGAAATCAGGCTTTCTGCAACCTGAGAAAAAAATACAGAAGAATCACAGGGAAAATTCAGGCTGACAATGACCACATATAAATATAATGTGGATGCCCGTAAAGTGTGTGTGAATGAAGCATGGCAATTCCATGCTAAATGCCTAGTGTGGAAGCAGTTGTACTAGGAAAATGGCACAATCTAATTAATGCACAATATCTATGCATTCAAGGTATTTTACAATCCGTGCTCATTTGTTCCATACTTGTGTAGCCCATCTTTGTCCCTTCAAAGATGGATGTCAAATAGAGTTTGCTACTGCTCCAATGCTTTTTGTGTACTTGAGCTGCCAGATGAACCACATCTTTTCCTAATCTTGTTCTTATGCTCCCTGAAATCAAGTAGTCAGTTTTACCCTTCTTGATCACCTGCATGTGGGAAGTTTCAATAGGCCAGAAAAAGCTCAAGTGCCCAGTTCACCCAGCATATAAAAAAGTGGTATCAGATCTTATTTCTTCTGTCTACTTTCAAAGAGCAGTGTAGTCAACTCATCATTCCTTGGGTGTGGCTAAGCATCACTTCCTTAGAGACCCTCAGAGAGAAGGACATGGACAGTCTCAGTCTCTCTCTCTGTGTGTGTGTGTGTATGGCCACTGCAATGAGGTTGTGAATTTGCAAGGACCAGCTAGATATGTACAAAAGTTATTCATATAGCAACAGCAATGATTTTCCCTCATTTTTTACTCACAATAGTGGTATTAACAGTAAATCTGGATACTTTTTTTGGATAATATGGAAGCTCCTCTATTTTTAGATTGAAATTCAAAATCCATTAACTTTGCTTTGAACTTTTAAATAAGTGGTGCCATGCAGGGGCTTAGCTAGCTGCTCCGGCACCTGGAGCAGTGGGGGCAAGGTGAGCCGCCCACAGGGGTACTGTGGCGATCCGCACACAGGGGTGCTGCACGGGGGTGCTGCGGGAATCCGCTGATGGGGGCGATGCAGCAATCCATGCACAGGGCACCACCGGGGATGCCATGGCAATCCATGCATGGGGGTGTGGCACAGGGGCGCTGCGGCAATCCACCCAAGGGGCACCGCGGCAAGCTGCCCACAGAGTCCGCCTGGTAGCTGGAAGCCCCACGCTGCCGTTTTGGGCAGCACGGGGCCGCGAGCCACTGCGTCATTCCCAGGAGAGACACGTGGCTTGGGCACACTGTAGGCCAGGTAAGTACTGACCCTCGTGGTGTGCCATTTTGTCACACACACCCCATCAAGAATGCCACCCAGGGAGAGTCGCACCCCCCTACAACCCTTCCTATGCCCCTGGTGCCATGGGCTGGGAAAATCCTGATGGTTATTTTCTCTAACCCATTCTACAAAAGCAGCACCTTTTTTTTACTCTTTCGATTCCCCTTCAAATGAGCAAAAAATAATTATAATCCTGTGCCGCAACTAAGAGAAACAGCACCAAATATGTATATTACCATTTGGCTTCCTAACTTTCTGCTTAATGTTGCAAGAGCCTTTTCCTTCTAATACGAAATTCAACTTGTACTTTTTGAAAGGCTTCATATATGCAACCATTCACCATAGAAGCCAAAGGTTTTATTATTATTATTAAAAGTATCATGGGATAAAACTCAATTACCATCTATGACAGTGTCTTACATTCTCACTGCACCACTCAAACTAGTCAATTACCCCCAAAGAGTTGGAAGTGATTTCAGGCACTGCCTCAGAGTCTCTGCGCTAATTAATGTCATTTTGCAGAATCTTATGAAAGAAAGAAAAAGAGGAAGAACCATTTCCCTTTTCTCTTGTTGCTCTGCGGTAGAACCACACTGACAGTTAGAGAAACTGAGAGACAACACAGGGAAATAGACTCAAGAATAATAATATAGTCATTAGATCCACACAGCAAAATGTGTTTAAAAGTTATAATTAGTACAGTGGTACCTCTGGTTAAGAACTTAATTCATTCTGGAGGTCTGTTCTTAACCTGAAACTGTTCTTAACCTGAGGTACCACTTTAGCTAATGGTGCCTCCTGCTGCTGCGGCACCACCGTCGTGCGATTTCTGTTCTCATCCTGAAGCAAAGTTCTTAACCTGAGGTACTATTTCTGGGTTAGCGGAGTCTGTAACCTGAAGCGTATGTAGCCCAAGGTACCACTGTACCTTTAGATTGATAGTGTTGCACAGAAGCCAAACTCTAGCCCTGTGCAGGTGTTAGGTCAACTCACAATTCAAAGAGGGGAAGAGGAAATATGCACTACTCTGCCCCCCCTCCCTTCACACCTAGATTTTGTGCATTTAGTGTGATGGTCTGAACACACTTACAATCCTTCCCACAACTGGGAAAATTGATTGTGCACATTCAGTTGAATACAATCAGAATTTCCCTTCAGACCTTTGCACTGAAAATGTGAAGGTCAGGAGTAGAGAAGACAGGGATGTTGGGGCAGGGCTGGTACATACAGGACCATGTCCCTCCCTCCACAATTTCTTTGATAGTGAATGAATCTAGCACCTGAATAGGATGCACTATCTTCCATAGAAGCTGTATTCCAAAATACTGGAGGGCACCCGGTCGGGGAAAGCTGAACAAAACATACTATAGCAAGAGATGAGCACCTCTTCAGACAGTGCTGCCCACCATAAGCCATGTGTGCTTTTGTCTTCTTCCTTATATCTGAGATCTAGGGGCTACCGTGACTTCATTTATTTGCTATGGTTTTCTTTTTTAAAGCTATTCTTCATTTCTACAGAATAATAACCTGTGCACCAGAAAACAAGGGCCACATTACCTATAAATGTCCAGCTAAAGCACTAATACATCCTTTTCTGTCAGAGACATATTTCTCCACGTTTAGCTCATTTTCTCCTTAAACCCTGCAAATAAAACACTTTGAAAGCCAAAGTGGAAAAAAAATGCTCCAGAATGAGAACAATGGTGGGAAATAACCAGCATAATATATTTCATGAGCCAATGCAAGAATTACTAAAGGGACAGAACAGTGATATATGTACTACATGTTCTGAATTCAGGACTAAAGAAGGCTGTATGTAGCCAAACATAAAAATACACACTGTTTTAAGCATATATTTTTCCCCTGCTGTGCTATTGGGAACCTCAGACAATGGTTTCAAAAGAGTAAATATGTTTGCTCAAACTTTAAAACAGATTGAACAGAGATGAAATGGAATATGAAATAAATTGTAAGACATCACCATTATGGAATCTGTGACAGACAGTGCTGACAAACTAGTCAGAGCACAAGGAACCCCTGTCAGCACTGCTTTAGAGCCTTTGACCAAGTTTCATAGAGCTGATTTAAACATTATTAAACACCTAATGATAGGTGTGAATAACGGTGTGTCAGGAGGGTCTACTCACATGAGCAGTGCAGTGTCAGAGAAGGTGTTCACATGCAGTAGATGGAAGCAGATATTGCTGTTCCTGGGGATCTCATGTTCTCTGCACATGCTGAACACCTTCAGGAGAACATTGCAGGATTAGACCAAAGGTCCATTTAGTGCAGCTTCCTTCCTTCCATAGTGGTCAAAAATCAGTGTCCAGGAAACCCAAAAGCGGGGAATGAAGGTGACAGGCCTTTCTATGCTTGAATTTTGTTTGCTGGTGAATGGGGCATACTGTCTCTGAACACTGAGATTCCACAAGTGGGGCTTGCAGCAAAATGTTGCTGTGTGGGCTACTGCTGTTCAGGACTCCACTCATTTCATTCCAGCTACCACCGCCCCATTTTCCATCCTTCCTGTCCATCAGTATTCTGTGCCAACAGAGCACACTGTATGGGGGTCTCTCCCCTGCCCCTCTCCCAATAGTTTGCTTTATATTTGTGGGAAAATTAATATTTAATACCCTTGATGGCCATTCAACAAACGATGTGCATGCAAGCAATCATGAATGGTTCTGATTGGATCCATGCATGCACATTTGTTGTCTTACTTCACAGGAATACATTGTGCAAATTGGGCATTAAATGGGCTATAAATGAAATATTAAAAAGCCCAAGATACTGTATTCAAAAGTTGAACAAATGCAAGGGATATGCCTGCTCACTCAAGGTGCTGTTTTTAATGGAAGTGGCATTATCTGCTCTCTCACTGCTTTGACTTTTATACTTTTCTAATGTGTAATTGTGGTTTCAAGGGTGCTTATGGTATTTATGAAGGTTTATTTATTTATAAGAGCATTACTGTCGTATCATAAAATATGTTAAAACATAAGACACAATTAAAAAATTAAAAACCAAGATAATTATAAAGCAATTAGCTAATAAAAAATAAAAAAGATTGCAAAGCCCTGTGTAGACATAAAAGAAATCTTGAAGAGACATCTGAAAGGCAAAAGCAAGGGTGTCTGATGGATTTCTGCTGGAAAAGCATTCCACAGCATGGGACCAATGACATTATATGCTTGGTGACATTAAATGCCTGACTTCCAGTTGAGGCCAGTTGGGCCTCTGTAACAACGAACATCCCTTCTCTAGGTGTTATCAGTGATCCAGCTGAGATATAAGGTTCTTAAGGTTTCATGGTCCCAAGTTGTTCAGGGCTTCATAAAGCGACACGTGATGTAGCCTGCAGGTGTGTTTTATATGCACTTTTATTTAGAAGAGCAATTATTAAACCCATGAGGTTGGTTCAGCTACAGAATTCTGTAGTTACCGCCCTCTGGATACTAGTCTTAGATGCACTTCATATCTGCAAAGTGTGCACTTAACACAGCAGCAGCAGCACAGAGAAAATGGTGGTGTGTTTCTAAACAGTGTAGTTCAGGGGGAGAGGAACTGTAGGTGCAGCATTAAGAGTGGTAAAAAGGTAAAGGACCCCTGACAGTTAAGTCCAGTCGCAGACTACTCTGGGGTTGCAGTGCTCATCTCACTTTACTGGCCAAAGGAGCCGACGTTTGTCCGCAGATAGTTTTTCTGGGTCATGTGGCCAGCATGACTAAACTGCTTCTGGTGAAACAAGAGCAGCACACAGAAACATCGTATACCTTCGCGCCAGAGCAGTACCTATTTATCTACGTGGACTTTGATGTGCTTTCGAACTGCTAGGTTGGCAGGAGCTGGGACCAAGCAATGGGAGCTCACCCCGACGCAGGGATTCAAACTGCCGACCTTCCGATCGGCAAGCCCTAGGCTCTGTGGTTTAGACCACAGCGCCACCCACATCCCTATTAAGAGTGGTATATATAGCCAAATCTCATACCAAAACATTTAAACAATAGGACCCAAATCATGGATCAATGTCAATATGCAAGATTAGTGTGAATATGTAGATTAATTTGTAGAAAAGATTATGCATTGAGGTTGGGCATTGGGCTGGATTATCTTTGATTGCATTTCAAAGCAGAATTCCCCCATTTTGACCTCCAGGTCCTTGTTCATATGTTTTAATGTACGTTTTCACATGAAATCATTTAGTTATCCTGGAAGAAGCAGCCAACTTTGATCATGAATATGATTTGCTGTTCTGCCATAACAATGTGATTATACATTTCAGGGGCTGCTTTCCCCCTAATCGCTGGAAGCAGACAGTTCCCCTGGCTGAAGAAATTACTGGAGTAGCCTTCAATAGTCAGCCTGGGTGGTATAGCATAGAGAGCTTACACAGATCAAGAAAACAAACAACACAGGGAAATACTGAAAGATGTCGATGTGTGTGCAGGAGACAAGGAGAAAGAATGGAAGGAGTTAGACTAAATCGCTATTTACCACAAATCTCTTCTCTTTTTTGCCAGGCTTTGACTGATAAATATCAGCTTAATCCTAACACCGGAAGCTTCAATTACAGGATTAACGTCAGCCAATATAGAGCATAGGAAAAAGTGAAACGGCTGTCCTTGTGGAGGTGCTATATCAGCTCCTTGCTGCCAGTTTATAGTAGCATCAAGACAAATTAACTGCCTCCCTTCAGGAAAACAGAAGAATGTGCTTTTGCTGTTAAAGGGAAAATAACTTCACAAGCAATAAACACACAAAATTAAATGGTGTGCAGTGTTTTGAAAAGAGCAAGAATGCAAGTTTACTGTGAACTATTTCAATGTGTGCCAGTTTGGTTGCTAGCAGAAAGGCACCTTTGTCTGGCAAGAACTGATGGCATTGACTTGGGTGCTTATCATGCAACCTGGCTAACCCTTTTGGGAAGCCAGTTATAGGTGTACAGCTATGGATGGAGAAGAAATCCAGTTTGGTCCATATTTTAATACAAAGCGCAGCTGTTCTTCAAAATCCACACTTGTCTGAATTTTGTGGTGCAGTTCTCCATCCAAATTGTGTGTGCAAAAAAAGGCATCTATTAAGTAAAATAATTCACAAGACCCTTTATCCCCTTTATCCCTTGCTTCCAAGACCTTTTGGAACTCTGTTAGAAATTTGCTTTATTGTCTCTTGCAGATACTATGAAATGAAAACTTTAGTGTCATTTTCTTTCAAATCCTGAGGTTAGAAAGTTGTCACTTATTTTGAAAATGATTTTGTTTTACATCTCACTTCTTGCAGCCAAAGTGCCTGCGATCTCACTAAAACTCAGCCTGATTGATAAGATTATAATTTTGTTTATATTGTGCTAAAAGGCACCACATTGAGTACCACACAAAGGAAATGGCAACTGATGGTGTGACACATAAGGCAGATTTAAACTTGAGGTTTCCTTTCTATCTCATTTGCACTTCTAATATTTTGGCTGCTCCTGAATGCCAAAGCCCAATGCATTGTATTATTTCACTTTGTTGTGTTGCAGCAAAACTTCAAATGGTCTATCCGGCATCGATACAAATATGCAATGGTGGAAAATAACATTCTTTTAAAATCAATACTACGAACATAAAGTACCTTCTATATGCAGCAAAACAAAGTCAGGGATTAAAGTTCTCTTCTGCTTAGAAAGCATTTCTACCTGAAGATCCATAATAAATCCACAGAATTTATGGAGGGGAGAGAGAGAGAGAGAGACTTGTCAGGCAATAAAGGAGAGGTAGCCATTGTGGTGTTCTCCAAGTTTTTTGGGAGTCCAACTCCCATCAATTTCAGCCAGCATGGCCAGTGTTGGGAACCATAGTCCACACATTGGTTACAACACTAACAGAGTGTAGAATAGGCATATCATTCTCTCTAGAGTACTGAAAGGA